GTGTTGCATGAACTCTCGTGAAAGCAAATGATGTGTTGCATGAACTCTCGTGAAAGCAAATGATGTGTTGCATGAACTCTCGTGAAAGCAAATGATGTGTTGTATAAGCTCTCATGAAACCAAATGCTGTGTTGCTTAAGCATTCTTCAAAGCAAATGGTGTGTTGCATGAACTCTCGTGAAAGCAAATGATGTGTTGCATGAAACCTCATGAAAGCAAATGATGTGTTGCATGAACTCTCATGAAAGCAAATGATGTGTTGCATGAACTCTCGTGAAAGCAAATGATGTGTTGCATGAACTCTCGTGAAAGCAAATGATGTGTTGTATAAGCTCTCATGAAACCAAATGCTGTGTTGCTTAAGCATTCTTCAAAGCAAATGGTGTGTTGCATGAGCGCTCTTGAAAACAAATGATGTGTTGCATGAACTCTCTTGAAAGCCAAGGATGTGCTGCATGAGCAGCGTGTTGTGTTACATGAGCTCTCCCGAAAGCAATTGTTGTGTTGTATAAGCTCTCCTGAAAGCAAATGATGTGTTGCATGATCGAGCAAATGTCTGATCTTATATCTAAAAATAAATGTATTTCGGTCCATGTTTATGAAGCTGGTAAAGCCAATTACGTCAATGAATAAGTCGAGGAAAAAGTATTTTTAATGTTGTGAGTACTTTGCAATCGCATATTAAATACGACTAATGACTTCATAAGATTTATCTAATTAATCAACGATGTAAAAATAAATGTGAGAATGACAAATGGATTAAACTGACAGTCAACTGTGAATGAAGCATTATTTTATCATATCTACGATCTTCCATTCTATGCACATCATCCCTATCTTGCATGATACAAGGATTTCGTCTAATCCCCGGGAAACTGAATATCTAAACTGAATGTTTCAAAGGACAGTTGCGTTGCAAAAATGTTTTAAACTAAAATTCAATTTGTTTTTAAGGTATATTCGAACCAAAAATGTGAGGCAATCAGTAACCAATGTGCTGTTTATGGCTCTGCATTATTAAACATATTTGGGTTTAACACTCCTCCTAACACTACAAAACATAAATGAGGTTGAAGTAATCAGTGGCATAAATCAAGTAAAACGCATATGGCGTAAAAGCATTATATAGCTAAACCCGACATAATCATTCCATTTGTACATGTAGCACTAATGGTTCATTTATCATTTTACATTTGACTTGTACATATGCCATATTGCCATAATACAAACATCCCACTGATAGGGACTATTATTCTTTTTTATGTCTCGATTGGTATAAGGATGGGGAACATTATATCTTCCGAAATATATTTTACGATACAGGGTGTCCCGAACGTATCGGGCCCCCATAGGCATATATCAATGTCGCTATAGTATGTGTCATATAGGATTCTAAAGCTTATTCAAAGTAACATTGATTTGCCAAGTATCATGGTTCAACTTAAAAAGGGGAAAAGTAACAGGTGTGTTTGGCCAAAATTAAAGTGCTGTTTTACACCAAATTAATAGTCGATGTGCTATGGCGGATCCGGGGGGGGGGGGGGGGGCATTGTGCCCGCCCCCCCTAAGGTTGGCCCAGAAAAAAAGTTGGGCCCAAAAAAGTTTTAGGCCGAAAAAGGCCTTAAGGCCCCAAAAAGTGGGCCTTTTGGTCATTATTTTTTTTAATTTTTTTTTTCAAAATTTGGGCCCACTTTTCGGTTTTAGGGGCCCAAGATTTTTTTTCTCTGACCTCATATTTGGGCACCCCCTCTTGGTTCCTGGATCCGCCACTGATGTGTCTTCCTGGGCCATGATAACAGTAGCCATTCTTTTTAGATATGACCTCAAACGCGCTTCATATAGGAGTGGAGCATTTTGTAATCCTCATAAAACCTTTATAAGGCATTTTAGAAGAGTTTCCTTGGAGTATCTACCCTCATCGTACTCCTTTTCTAACTCAATATCCATCCTATCTTTGACGTTAGTACATGTAGGTCAAGGCTATTTCCAGGGTACTGATCTGAGCTTAGCCAAAAACAAAGTTTCGAAATACCCGTAATTTTTTCCTTTCCATGATACTTGGAAAATCAATGTAACTTTGGACAAGCTTTACAATGATATATGACTGGGGGGTCCAATACTTTCGGGACACCCCGTATATTCTATCTTCTATTTATTCTACACGACTAGGCTATATATGTTGTAACAATAGACGTATAACTGATAAGTATACAGGTAAACCTGTTTTAATAGAGGTAGTCGCACAGGCTGGTATCGAAATATTTGTCCGCTGTGACGGAGCATGCTATTTTTCATAAAAACATTAAGAATACTTCACGATTTATTTTTTAACTCATATGTTTCGTTATACCATACAAAATTACTTACTCCATGCAATGGATATATCATTTGCGGGTAACTCTCACTTCTGTTTGAAGTCCAATTACGCTGGGAAGAAAAGCTATTGAAAATGGCGCCGGAGTATCATACTTCAAAATGTACCATTTCTTGTTTAACTTTCTAATGGCACGATATAGTGATACGATAATTTACACATGGTTTCAGCATAACTATGAAGGTATAAATGAGATGTTGATGTATTTGGTCTTTTTAATTATTTTATAAAAAATAATGTTTAATTTTTTTTGTCCGCTGTGACGGAGCAGTTGCAAATGTGAACTGTGAAAATGCTCCGTCACAGCGGACAAAAATATTAATATTATTTTTTATAAAAAAATTAAAAAGACCCAATGCATTAATATCTCATTAATACATTCAGAGTTATACTGAAAACATATGTTAATATTATTGTGTCACTATATCATGCCATTAATAAATGGTACATTTTAGAGTTTGATACCCTAGCGCCGTTTTCAATATATTTTACTCCTAGCGTTATTGGACTTCAAACAGAAGTGAAGGTTACACGCAAATGATATATCCATTGCATGGAGTAGGTAATTATCTTTGATATAACGAAACATATGAGTTATATCAGTAAATATGAGTAAATAGCATGCTCCGTCACAGCGGACAAATCTTTCGATACCACCCTGTGAGTCGATACATAAAGTAAGACAAAGAAAATATTTGGTATTGTATAAAACAGATACAGTTTCATCAAATAAGGACACAGAACAAAGGATCACCAAGTCAAGAAGATCATCAAATCAAGAGGACCATCAAATCAAGAAACACATCATGGAGCCAAGAGATACATCATCAAGTCAAGAAGCACACCATCAAGTCAAGAGGCACATCATCAAGTCAAGAGGATCATCAAATCAAGAGGCACATCATCAAGTCAAGAGGCACATCATCAAGTCAAGAAGCACATCATCAAGTCGAGAGGCACATTATCAAGCCATCGAGTCAAAAGATACATCATCAAGTCAAGAGACCCATCACCAAGACATCGAATCAAAAGACACATCATCAAGTCATTGAGTCAAGAACCAAACAAAGGGTTATCTGATCAAGACACGCAATCGAATTATATTTAGACAAGACATGTAATTCAAGGTCATCAAATCAAGACACTACATCTAGTCAAGTCATAGCGTCATTTAGACGGGATACAACACAATGTTGTCTAGACAAGACACAATACAGTGTCATCCAGTCAAGACAAACAACATAACGTAATTTAGACACGATACGACACATGGTCATATAGTCAAGACAAACAACCTAACGTCATTTAGACACGATACGATACATTGTCATCGAGTCAAGACAAACAAGCTAATGTCATTTAGACACGATACGAGACATTGTCATATAGTCAAGCCAAACAACCTAACGTCATTTAGACACGATACGATACATAGTCATCGAGTCAAGACAAATAAGCTAACGTCATTTAGACACGATGCGATACATTGTCATCTTGTAAAAACAAACAAGCTAACGTCATTTAGACACGATGCGATACATTGTCATCGAGTCAAGACAAACAAGCTAACGTCATTTAGACACGATGCGATACATTGTCATCGAGTCAAGACAAACAAGCTAACGTAATTTAGACACGATACGACACATTGCCATCTAGTCAAGACAAACAGTCTAACATCATTTAATCCCGATACGACACATAATCATATAGTCAAGACAAACAACGAAACGTCATTTAGACACGATACGACACATTGTCATCTAGTCAAGACAAACAGTCTAACTTCATTCAAACACGATACGACACATTATTATCGAGTCAGAACAAACATTTAGACACGATACGACACATTGTCATCTAGTCAAGACAAACAACCAAACGTCATTTAGACACGATACGACAAATTGTCATCTAGTCAAGACAAACAGTCTAACATCATTTCAACCCGATACGACACATAATCATATAGTCAAGACAAACAACGAAACGTCATTTAGACACGATACGACACATTGTCATCTAGTCAAGACAAACAGTCTAACTTCATTCAAACACGATACGACACATTATTATCGAGTCAGAACAAACATTTAGACACGATACGACACATTGTCATCTAGTCAAGACAAACAACCAAACGTCATTTAGACACGATACGACACATTGTCATCTAGTCAAGACAAACAGTCTAACATCATTTAAACCCGATACGACACATAATCATATAGTCAAGACAAACAAGGAAACGTCATTTAGACACGATACGACACATTGTCATCTAGTCAAGACAAACAACCTAACGTCATTTAGACATGATGCGAGACGTTGTCATCTAGTCAAGACAAACAACATAACATCATTTAGACACGATACGACACATTGTCATCTTGTAAAGACACATAACACACTACGTGAGACTTGGTCATTTAGAATGGCGAGAGCACAATAAATCTAATTTTTCCAAGTATTTTTTTTACAAGTATCGGAATTTGAATGGTCTAGATGATGCTTTAATCAATTGATTTAATGACAAGTTGATATTGTATAGAATTGATGTAGCACATGATGTTGGTATAAATAAAGGCGATGTGATGTATCGGCTTAGATAGAATCTAGACAACCAGCAATCGTGAATGGAATTAAAATGTTGTAAGAAAGGACTATTACACACCGTTGCCTGCATATTATAAATTATAGTTTATAAAATAACATCGACAGGGGACAACTTTACGATTCATCACAAATTGGGTATGCAATTTCGGTTTGTCATATATTGAGACTTGAATAAATTGATTGTGCGACAAAACTATTGCCAGTCGGAGATAAATATACTAGGAGTCAGATCTGTTTTGATAATGTAAGTAATTTAGATTTATTTTTCGGTGGGATGTCTATGGACTGTTTTTGTTGTTTTGTGTGTTTTTTGTTATTGTCTTAAATTTTTAGATGTGTTTTGTGTCGTTGTTTTTGGTTAATTTTCACTGTTGTGTTAAATGTTTAAATTTTTGTACTCCATGCTAAATGGGAAATAAAGAAATATATATAAAAGAGTATGAGGTCCTGTCAAATTATGGTCCTACTTTCCATTGATTTATATGGTGACCTAAATACAACTCTCCCTTATTATCATATCCACAATCAGGGCCAGTAAGGGCCTTTAAGAAAGGGGACCATAATCCCTAGGGGACCATAATTTCTTTCACACCGGTTTGAATTTCATATTACTGTATCAATAAGTTGTTTTTATGACCAGTTCTCAGATTATTCTGGCTTTCAAATTTTTCATAACCATTGCACAAAACGTTTAATATTGTTAATTTATAATGATCAAATCATCAAATATTCGTATGCAAAAACAGTCATAAACAACATTCTAAGCTGTTAATATAATAACTGTTATCGAAGAATAAAAAATGATGATTTTTGAGAAAACACCTCAAACTTAATTACTACATAGTCTCGTTATTAAAAGCGTTTTTTTTTTGAAGTATTGCACCAGAAAACATGAATGACAGTTCTCGGAGCAACATGGTTTACAAAAACAAATTAATTATAAAAGTAAGATCTCTGTGAATAATTATGAAGGACACAGAGACAAGCTGTTGCTGAAGTCGAGACATTGGATTTAACATCAATATATATACAGGGGTTGGGGGGGGGGGGGTGGCCTTTGGTGTGCCCAGAAAAAATGTTTTTGCATCCCCCAAAAATTTACCAAATTATCAAAAATGGGGCTTAAATTTTCAAATCTTTCAAAGGATAGGTATCGATATGGAGAACTGAATTCAACAATGTTTTTCTCTTAAACCAATCATTGAAAACATTCTGCAAAAACATGGTATTTTATGTAATGTTGACTGATTGACAACAACTTAATGCGAAAATTATTTAGAAATATTTTATATAACTGTTTTTGTTAACATTTTTGGTCTTTTAGTGCAATTGTTTTTGCTCCTTTCTACCAATTCTTGAGAATAAAATAAAATGTCTTTCCGAACCTTGTTGGAACAAGATAGCATATACAACATGTTTTTAGACCTCTCAATATTAAGGCTATACAAAGGAATTTTTGGTCGATTTTACAAAAGTATTCAAAAAGTTAAAACAAAATCCCCCCAAAATAGATAAAAATCAAGAAAACCCTTTTATTTCATTAACAAGATACTTTTTCAAAATCAACCAAAATTTCCTTTACAATTACAATATTGAGAGACCTAAACATGTTGTATTTATGTCGTTTAATTCCAATGAGGTTCGGAAAGATGTTTCATTTCACTCTGGAAACATGATATAAAGAACAAAACAAGAGTTTGATGTGTTTTTCAAAACACTATAGATGAAAGTATGTATATCTATTTCAGTCAAATTATATTGTTACCATTCAAAAGATGGCCATTAAATTGACAATTTGTAAGATTTTCAGAATTTTTTTATGACTGGTTTCAGAGAAACGTGTGTTCAAAAGGTTTGCCATATCGATACCCATTCTTTGGGGATTTAGGAGCCAATTTTTTTCTGCTTTGAAGTGTGGCCCCCCATTGTTACATTTTTCATTGAATCAGAAATATTCACCAGAAAAATGAAAACAAAATCATGAAATATTACGAAGATATCCAAAATCATTTGGGCCTTCGTTTTTCGGTCACCCTGGTATTACAACACAATACAATACAATACAACTGAACGAATGGCTGTTGTGTCAAACTTACTGTGTACTAACAGAATACAGACAAAACCACAAGAGAAACTATGGATTATTACAACCACTCTTCTAGTCACTGCTTCTTTGATATACAGGGCGTATCAAAAAAACGCAACAAGTAGTTATCTCGTAAAATCACAAAACTAATGAGGACTACATCAATTTCATTCAATGTACCACAAAGCCACGTCTCTCCTCTTTGCAATGATATGTCATTCATTCACATGTGGTAATGGTTGGGTGAGAAATCCTTCCATTTGCACAGTGGGTCAAAATTGGCTCTGCTCCAAGTTTTAGATATTGCAAAAATCAGTACAAGGGCTAAGTGCCAATGGAAGTTCCTCTGACTTTAATTGTTGTGACTTTTTCTTTTGGAGCTATCTCAGGAGCGTCTGTGCTCACAATTCCTCCACCAGATATTGCAAAACCTCGAGAAAGAATTGCCTATGGGCTGCTTTTCTCTGCTTGAACCCACAGATGACTCAGAGCTGAACCATGCATGACATGGACAGATGAGCGCAGCTTTATGTGCAAGGAAGTGGTGGCAATTTGGAGGGGTTATAGGGTGTATTCTTGCAAGAGTATGAGTATGAACACTTTACTGTCTATGCCACACCTGTCACACCTTCTTCCAATAGCCCCTATGCCCCTTGTACTGACTTTTGCAATGTTTAAAACTTAGGTCCGAGCTGAATTTTGCCCCACTTTGCAAAATTAATGATTATTCGGCCAATCATGACTCCCTGTGAATGAATGATATTCCATTGCAAAGAGGAGTAATTTGGCTTTTTGGTACATTGAATGAAAAAGATGCAGTCAGCATTGGTTTTATGTTTTCTTCCAATATTGCACCGGGCTCCGTACACTGACTTTTGCGATGTTTATAACTTGGTACAAAGCTAATTTTGGCCCACTTTGCAAATGGAATGATTACTCGCTCAACCATGACCAAATATCAATGAATGATATATCATTGTAAAGAGGAGACACGTGGCTTTATGGTGCATTGAATGAAATCAATGCTGTTATCACTGGTTTGTGCTTTTCCGAGATAACAATCTGTTGCGTTTTGATACGCACTGTACAGCATTTAAAAGAGTTTCTGTTCGTTGACACTGATTTGATTTCGTTTTGTTTTGCTGGTTTGACAATGTTTAAGCCTAATGTGGTTGCACAGTTCTTCTGTGATTTTACATGAGGTTGTTTGTTTTTCTAATTATAATGCTTTTAATACTACAATATACACGCCCGGTGATCGTACAAAATGGATGGAGGGGGCATTAGGCGATTTCTGCAAGAAAACTCAACAAAGGACGATTCTCGGTTTGGAGAACGAAGTTCATCAATCTAAATGAGCATTATCCCTGCTTCGGACAAATTTGATATTTTTACATAATATAGATTTGAATGTCTTTTTTTGAATAGTCATAATTTAATTTGGGTAATATTTTTAGAAAAATATTAGCGCAGTATACTGATGAACTTCTTTCCCCAAATCGAGACTAGTATTTTATTGAATTGTTGTGCTTGGCTTTGAGAGGATTTGTGGATTGGTACTAATAGGTATCAGAGTCGGTAATTAGCATGATTTGGCTAACAAACTGAACAGAAGAACATTAGTTGTGTTTCTTACTTGAGCTTCATTCTCAGACTGACTTACGCCCCTCAGCACCTGGGTTGTTATCTATATTAACTGATAAGTCTTTACAATGGTTAGTTTTATGGTTTTATTACTCTTTGATCACAAGTAGACTTATCAGCGAATATAGGATATGGAAGCAAATGTGCTATCATATAACTGGACTAATAAAATATAATGTAAAATACAAGTTGTTCTTTAATGACACAACAATACTCCCCACTTCGCTATGGTGAGCCCCTGCGAGCCGCATAGGAAAGGGAAATATTGGTATGGTTAATCTAGGGGTATGAGGTGCTTTGGAAACGCATTCGTTTATTCTTATATAATATATCTATTTTTTTTACAAAGTCACAAAAATCTAGTGCCATCAATATGTTTTCAACAAAAATTAACTTAAAAAAATATCAGGTTTCAAAGAATGTAAAAATGTAGATTCAACATATTATAGATATTTTGCTTTTTTGGAATTAAACTCAACTAACAGAACCCTTGTGCCTTATAGTATTTTAAGTCCTTAGTGTTCATGCACCCTTTGTTGGTCACAAAATATCTGCTTTGTTGTTCTTGCTGTTGTTGGTATCTTCTTTTGGCACTAGTAAACAGTATTAGTACGCAGTTGACACGTACAAAACTGAGGAAATGTAAGAGTACATACCAGCTGTTTTTCTTTCTATGAACTGAGAGAGAAAAAAATGGAATCTACTAAAAAAATGAGGAAAAATTATAAGTTCTCTCACACCTTTGTTTCTTACTGCATTACCATAACGTTTTCATAATGGTGAATACTTTAAATTCTCAACATGAACTAGATATATTTATATATAGCTTGCACTTTATATTTTCCTGTATGCCTAGATCTATATAGCGATCGGGCCATAAGTTAAATATTAATTTCCACTTAGGTATTATATTGTGGAGTGCAGCCTATTATTTTTTTTACTGTTGTTATGTGTTCTTATTGTTGAGAGTAAGAGATACGATTTAAAATCTTATAAATAAATGCTGCAGTATTTATGACACGTGCTGAGAAGCTTATTCCTCTACAAAAAATGACTTGTTTCGTTTATTTTACAAAATGTTTTACAGCTAGTAGGTAACTCTTAGATATTTCTTTGTTTTTAACTTGTTTACTTAAATGTCCGACGGGTTTCTGTTAGTACATTATTCATTTCTTTTACAAAAAATATTACAATCATGAATTCTCAAGTTGATTTCTATTGGCACTTTACAATGTGTTATACACCTTAACTATAATACCAATATATATATATGACTACTTTAGTGGTTATAAATGGACCCCACTGAACAACTTTACAATCCACCAATTAAATTTATTATCTAAACCTGTTCAGGTTTTAAGTTTAAATCAGCAATCTTTTTATCAATTAAATTTTAAATATGCGCATATTTACTAAACTATCTGTGAGACTATGTGCTTTCACACTACTAAAAACACAAAAATATTGTTTGTTAATTAGATACATTAGGGTAGAGATAACTTACTTTATAACTC